GAATCTGTAACTTCATGAGCGTTTTTCGATTTTAGTTTCTGTTATTTTTAATACTTCCTTCTGCAACTGGTTTGAAAAATTGGTGCTTATAGCGAGCTAAATAGGTGGATATGGAAAATAAATTATTATTTTCCAGGAATGAAAATTTTGAACAAAATTCTGTTATCAAAGTCGTGGCTGCCAGCCGAATCGGATCAGAATATTGTTATTTTTTAAAAAAGCACCCCGTTTTTTGTAAGCATTTGAATCTCAGATATATACGTAATTTTTGTCTTACTAAAGGTCAGACCTCTAGCTTTTTAATTACTTGAGCATCGATTCTCTTTATAGCCAGACGTTTATCATTTCTGCTGGAAATCCCTATTTAAGGAGCTTACTTTTTGACTTTAAATAGCAAAGAAGGGACAGTTTCACCACAGAATTTTTTAGCCAAGGATCCAATGTATATCCCCATGAAAAAAATATTGCCCGACCAGTAAACAAAATTACTGTTTTTAAAATTTTTGCTAAAAATAAATTCCCCAAAGAGCCTCACTTGAAATTATTGAAACAAATATATGTAACATCAAAGGCAAATCACGAATATTTGGTTAAGAATTACAGTGCACACTTTCTTCTTTTGTGCCTAGTCGCTTTTTTTTAAGATTGGTCCAAAAAATCATAATAAAGGAAGAAAGAATGCAATCCAGGTATTTAAAGCACAGAAAAAAAAATTTGTTTAAAAGACTATGTTCTCTTTGGCGTACGTCAAAGGTCAAGTAAAAGTTAGATCTTGTATGACTGCCCATTGATAGCTCGGTTATATAGCTTAAGAAATAATATGTTTAAATACATTTTTATCAAAGTTGATAAATATGACATTTGACCAGTTTTGTTACACAAATACTCCCACGACCACAGGCAAAAATATTGGCTCCAATTTGTCATTTTGTTTGCCATATATACGTTTTATCGCTGCACTTGCACAACATTCGCATTTGCAAAAGCTCCGCATTGATTATTGCGAATGCGAATGTTAAAATTAATGCGGAAGCTCCGCAGTTGCGAATGCGAATATTCGCAACAACCCTGCTATGTAGTACATACGACGTAAATATGTGCTTATGTATGTAGCTCCTTAAAATGAAAAACACGTACACATATATAGGTACATATGTACATTAGACTGCATCACTCCCCATACAAAAAAAAATCGGTACAGTGTTTCCATTGGAAATTTAAAATCTATTATATTTTAAGACTTCCACCAAAATATTTCGGAAAACTATTAAGATTTACGTGAGCTGGACCGATTTGAAAATACCTCCAAAAATGAGTTTTTTACGCATCAAAATAGTTTCTTAACGATTTTTTTGAAAAAAATCCTTTCAAATGACAAAACGACGGAATCGTAATAATTACATTTTTGATGCTGTTTTTTAACTTTTTTCAAGGATTGGTTTAAGAAAAACCCTAAAAACTGAACCTAAACTATTCCAATTTAGACCTGCATAGGGCTGCCAGACGTCCAGGCTTTCCCGTACATGTCCCGGTTTTAAACAATTTGTCCCGGTTTCCCGGTCCAACCTTAAAATGTTTCATTTAAGTGTCCCGGTTTTGGATTTGATTGCACAAATTTTAATAAAAGTTCAAAAATCACTATACTAAGAGAAAAAACGCATTGTCATATTCAGAAAAATTTTATGAATTCACTGAGGGAAATAATGCATAGTAAACATGAATATTTTTTATTTGATTGTCGTTTTAAAATGTTCGTATTTAAAAATAATACTTTCATACCACGCACGCGTGGTGTTGATTCAAACTCAACATTTGAATGCACATTTACATGTCTGGCTGTAGATGAGTGCGCGAAGAGGCTTGCCACAATTTACTAATTTCCAGAGGGTCAGGGTTCAAATGCCATTACAGGAAGCATGGAATTTAAATATTTTTTTAACCCAATTATGGAAAAGCAATCAGTAAGTGCAAAGCGCTTCTTTTTAATATGGACGTATTTGAATTGAATATTTCTATACTAAATACTAAAATTTGTATTCTTAAATGTATTACGAGTTGGGTTGGTGCTCTTTCATATGCGCGTTTTTTACAACGCTATTTTTAAATTTAGCAGCTTTCTTAATTGTAAACAGCGTCCGGACTTTGCTCCGATCGGAGTAGATTTACTCCGATTTTTTTTTAAATTTAAAATCTACTCCCTACTCCACTTGACCTAAAGTATGGCCCGGAATTTTTTTCATTTTTTTCCATTCACATTAGGAATATATTACTGTTTAACAGGTTTTATTATTATTAGTTGAGGAACGAAACAAATTTTTTCTTATACTATTTAATTAAAGAATGTTAATCTGCTCCGAAAATTTCGTTTTTAGTCCGATTTTTCGAGTCATTTACTCCCGAATCGAGTTTCAGTACTCCGAGCGCTGATTCTAAACTTCTTTCTCTCAGTGTACCGGTTTCATTTGTGAAATAGTTACATCTCCAGGTAGTTAAACTTTGCACAAGCAATAGTTGATGATTAATATATGTACCTAAATACGTTCAAACTGTCGTGCACAGAGTTTTACAATTACAGTGACGAGCAAAACTGTAACATGGTTTAACACTTTTTGTTTCAGCCACCGCTATATTTCCAAGTTCTAACGACTTTCATACTTTTGCTGTATATTCTTGTTGGTACATCCCTACTCCCTCTCTCATAATGATTTGAAGTCAATACAACAACAATAAAAAAACCAGCAGACAAAAATGTAAATTAAGGCAGATGTTACAGTTTTGCACTCATATATTTTTAAGAGCTTTTTAACAATTTTCACGAAAAAGAGAACTACTAACACAATGTTCAGTACTCTTTTGCCTGTTTCAGTTCCTGGATGTGATTTGGCATACCTTATTTGTATCTTTGTAAAAATTCTGGAGGTATATCCTTAGTTTGCTTTCACAGCTCATGTACTCGATTTTGCGGACTTTGATACTTATTAAGCTGTGCTTTTAGTTGATTTCGCAAATTCTCAATGAGATTCATGTCCGCGGTTTGTGGAGGTCATTTCAAATTAGCAAATTTTTGCTTTTGTATCCAGTCTTTGCGAACATATGCAGTATGTTTTGGGTGATTTTTCAGCAGAAACTCTAATTTTTCGACTACATCTTGCAAATTTTGTTGAAATATGAACAGATACTGTTCCTTACGCATAATGCGTACTAACGGACCAACAAAATTTTTGAAATACAACCCCAAACAATTAAGATCCTACCACTGTGGTTTACAGTTTGCTGTACATGATGCGCTTAGGCTTAATTTGGGTCTTTGATCCAATATCATGCCCGGCCATCTGATTGAAAGCGATTAATTTAGTCTTGTCAGCCCAAATAACCTTCAATTGAAACTTAAAAATATGTTTTTTATTGCATTCTGAACGGCCTAACATATCCCAATAGGAAACGGTTCGGTTTTCGTGCGATGCAGCGAAATGCTGCCACATTCTAAAGCAGAATCGCTTTGGCCCAGTTATCTTTAAAAAAGGTTAAAAAACAGCATCAAAAATCTCACTATTACGATTCTGCTGAAAAGATTTTTAAATATTTGTATGCAGATTTTCTAAGCTTAATCCGTTTTGTCATCTGAGGGGGTTTTTTCAAAAAGTTCTTTAAGAAACTATTTTTATTCATAAAAAACTCCTTTTTTGAGGTATTTTCAAATTGGTCCAGCTCACGTAAATCTTGATACTTTTCCGAAATATTTTGGTGGATGTTTTCAAATACAATAAATTTTGTAATCCCGGCGGAAAAACCGCAACTTTTTTTTGGTGATGCAGTCTAATGCATGTACATACATATCTTCGTTTAAAGTACAAAACCGCGTATCGTCATTCCGTCACGGCGTAACTGACATTTGCTGCCAAAAATTGGATTTGCTTACACAAGCTCTTGGCTCAATCCTTATCCATTCGTCCTAAAATATACAAGCCAGAAATGTGATTGCTTTATAAATAAATAAAATAAAAAAACGTTTTATTATAGCACGCTTTTATAAATGGACTAAAAATTATTAAATAATATTTCTCAGTCCCATAGAATTTGTTTTGATAATTTTTGATTTGGAAATTTTAGCAAAAGTCATTATAAACCATTTATGAGATTGAAAACGAAAAACGTGGAGCGCATGTAATACAGCAGTAGATTTAATTGACAGTAGTCAAACTACATAACATATATCTAAAATTTCTACAGAGAAAGTACAACTCTGAGATCGATTTTAAACGGTCGTTATTCACATATCCACATACATAGATATATTACCCTTCATACCAATTCAAGTCTATTACATGCGCCCAACGCTTTTCATTTTTAATCTCATAAATTGTTTATAACGACTTTTGCTAAACTTTCAAAATCAAAAGTTATCAAAACAAATTCTATGGGACTGAGAAATATTATTTTCTAATTTTTAGTCCATTTATAAAAGCGTGGTATATTAAGAAGTTTTTTTATTTTATTTATTTTATACTTTTTAGTCTTGTCTGTATAAAATTTTGCAATAAGTATTAAAATAATTCAACTTGCAGTGCAAAGAGAACAGAAGACTATGCAAGCAAAATGTTTTGTGCTCACGTTGAGTATATCCATACGTAAGTGCATACATGCATATAGCATAAATTAATTTCGTTTAAAGAAATGGAGTATCGTCCATTTCCTCTTTAGCGTATGTAGTGCATATTTTTAGGCGCATTATTCAACTTCTTCTGGCAGGGCGACATCTAGAGTATTCTAATTGTATGTCTTTGATATGATATCTACAACGAGGTTGATATCTAGACTTTGCCATAAATACCTTGGCTATATTTATAGTATAAATGGTGGTCTGGACACACAACATTGCAAGTTGATAAAAGCGTGGTAAAAAGAGCACCATTTTGAAATATGAGTGTTTTCACTCTCTAGAAAATAATTTATGCAACCTCACATACGCGATATGTATAGATTCTTTTCTATTTTTGTATACATATGTATGTATGTATGTAAATAAAATATAACAGCAATTACTCATATTTTTGGCTAATCAGGATATGATTAATCACTTTGTCGATTAATCAAATTAATTAGATTCTGATTAACCAATATGTAATTAATAGGAAAACTAACCATTTTGATTAATCAAAAATAATTATTCTTTGACTAATTAATTAATCTGCTTTCGCTTAATCAGCTTGTTCGATTAATTCTTTAATAACACATCCCTACTAAAAACTATCATGTCATGGTTAGTTGGACTGGGATCTGTGCATGCACTATAACAGGGCTTCTCACATGATTTGTTTTAATCTCCAATTTAATATTTCTGAAACATAGCCTAAAAATTAATTTCCAGAAAAGGAAGGAGAAACAAACCCCTATTTCCTAATATTTTAACAACCTGTTAAAATACAGTGCCTTTATAGATGAAAGGGTTCTAAGAGGCATACTATCTTATACATCTTTTAGCCAAACGCTAAAGTTTGCGTTAATAATGTACTTTCTGTATGACAGATAATCAAAATGTTCCTTAAAATATCGCTCGTTGGCATAACCCTTCAGAAAAAATTTCAACAATTTCACAATAGTTAGCCCTATTTTAGGATTGTTAGTTCACTATCGAGTCTACTTTTTGGTGCTTCCGCGTTTAGCGCTTGGTATCAACTCCTGCCGTTTGTAAAGATGAGGTGTTGTTGTAGTCGTCGTTACCGTTGATCCCGGTCGAATACTGTTCTCTGCTGCAGTTGCCGCAGTGAAAGATGATCTTTGCAGTTGTTGTTGGTGTTGCTTTTTAACAGACATTCTCTCGAAATCGGCGGTTTTTGAGCGCAGTATGGCTCCCCCAATATTCGAAATGGTTGCAGGTAATTTCGGCTCACCATTTTTTGCCTTCTGTGCCAGATGTGGATCATACTTAGCCACGTTAGCGCTATCCCCAAGTGATGGTGAGCTCATAGGCGTAGCGGGTGTTCGATCATCCTGCATTTGCTGGTTTTGCTGTTGTTGTTTTTGCTGCAAAAACTGAACTTGACGACAATCATTTAAAGACCCATCAGTTTTCGTGGAGAATGACAATGATCCAGATACAGGAAAATCTAGAAAATTTACAAACAATCGAATTATGGCGTTAAACCTATGCACATAAGTGTGAATTATTGATATTTGCTATGATTGTTTATAGTAGCGATGGGCATAATGTGCACATACGGGCAAAATGCCCAAACGTGCAAACCGCCTGCAAATGTGCAAACCGTTGGGTAGATGAGGTGCATGAACGAACGAATAAAGATCACCCACCACGGCGTGCGAGAAAAAAGTTATTTTTTTGCAGGGATGTCATTTTTTCGCCACCATGTGAATGAAACGGACTGAAACCTGTGTGTGAATGAAAGAACCGATTAAAAAATGACGTCATCAACTATTATTTTTTTCTCAAATGCAATTACAAATACACGGTTGCCGTGCTGGGTGATCTTGGTAGTTGGTTCATGGATGAGGTGAGGTAATTGTGCCTGGGGGGGGAAACAGAAAATTTTGCACGAATTGCATCTGTATGCAGGGTTGCCACTGACAAAAAAAAAAAAAATTACCATTCACTTGAGAAAAATCTACCAAATCTGGAAAATATCTACCAATAAATTTTTTATAGTTATTTTAATAAAAACTTTAGTTCTGTTATTTTTTTATTTATTTTAATTAAAACTATAGTTTTTATTTTTTTAGTTATTTCAATAAGAATTAAAATTGTTTTTAAGGAACTTTTTATTTAACTAATTATACGGTATTTGAGTCATATTATTGGCATATTCAGAGTTTTCTTCAACCGAAAGCGGAAAGGCAACAAAGAAACTTCATAATTTGTAAAACTTCAACACGAGTTATTATAGACAAATACAGTGACTCAATAAGGCACTTGGTGATTTTTTTTTATTATTCTCAATCTTTTTCAAGAACAAATTTTTTCTTGCTTTAACTAAATCCATAAAAATTAAGGATTCAAACTATATACATACAACATTTAGAAAAATTCAAAAAAATTTCGTCCAAATTTCAAATTTTTTACTCTGAATTTTTAGAACAATTTAAGGTACCGAGTTTTAAAGCAAATGATACCTCGAACTGTGCTTCCCGTTGATTTTTTTTGTCGCCAGTCTTTTGTGTTTTTTTTATTTAACAATTTCTATTTATAAAAAATGGCGTTGATTTAATTTTTTTGCGAATAATCATAGTGCGTCATTACATAGCAGTAAATTCTTTATAAGTATTTAAATAATAATTCAAAACATTTAGGCAATTAAAAGCTCCTAAAGGGATTCTAGTAAAATGAGTTTTGAATGGAGCATGATATGTTCGCCTTATATCCATATATTTATACTTATGTAAGTATATAAAAAGTATGCAAAGAAATTTAGAATATAAAGATAACTATGTAAAATAAAACGGGAACGAAAAGTTCAACAAAAATCTACCAAAATGAGAAAAAATTTACCTTTTTACCAACCCAAATTTTTTCTACCAATTTTGGTAACAATTTACCAAAGTGGCAACCCTGTCTGTATGTGTGATTGGAATGAGAGAACAAGTATATGTGAGTACTCACGAATGTGAGACCCCATGGCTGCCAACTTTCCTAAAAGCACCAAAACTTTTGACAAATCAAAACATCAAAAATTTTTTTCAGTAAAATTTAATATGCATCTATACACATTAGTGATCGGTACAAGATATAAGTATTGTTGTATTTATCAAAAACCAAAATAAATAGTAACACACTAATAACGATTTTAAACTTTTATAGAACCAATTGAATTTTCACTTTAATTCAATCAAGATATATATTTTATTTGAAACAATGCATTTATACACATATGTATGTACATACTTATGTGTATAAAAAGATTTTCGTATCCAGAATAAAATGAACTAAATAAGCACTGAACATGGCGGGAAAGATATTCTAATAGTATTATATAGTTGTCGAATATTTTTAGGTATCTTCGGCTCAGCTAACATGAAAAAAGCTGCATGTATGCATATCCATATATTTTTGATGATTTGAAGATTTTAATTTTTAACTATGCAAAGTGAAGTGTATGTATATACCTACATATACACTGCTGCAAATAATTATAAACTCAAAGTGATTTTAAATGCAGGTATGGACATAAAAGTGCAAATAAGTTTTGCATTGACTACATTTTACAAACTCCAACGAGCTCAACAGTCACGAAAACGAAGACGACATTCTTATGACCAATTTTTATACTTTATTTAATGCCACAAAATCTCAACACTGGTTATAAAACCATATAACGAAGTTCCAATTTTATTTTTGTTAAAAACCTGATGGTTTTTTATAAACATATGATCTCTAATTTTATCAATTAAAGTTTAACTGCTAAATTATAAAATAAATTTTTTTTTCATAAGAGTTTACAGAATTTAAATTATTTAGCAGGATTCTAGCGATTTTTGTTTATTAATCTGGCGGGACGGCGGAAACAGAAATGGCAGCACTGGTGGTGAGTACCGACTTGCTTACGCGCATATTATGGTCTGATTATGCATACTTCGCATAACTTCGCACAACTTCGCATAAACTTCAAACTGTAATTAGGTATGTACTTTGTATATATTTTGTATGTATTCCATTACCCAGAAATTAGCAGAACTTTTAAAAACTTAGCGATCTGTTGAGTTTAGATTTTGCTTCACATTTTCTTAAGTTACACTTTTAGTGCACTGGTACAAATGGCTGTGCGAAGTTATGCGAAGTATGCATAATCAGACCCTTAGCTGTTTTGTAATTCACTTTTGCATTGTCAAGGCCGGTCCACATAGAACTTTCGCGTTGGCTTTGGCGTTGTCGTTGGTTTGACAGAACGCACGTTTAAAGTATGCTTGCTACAATGTACGCTTGGAAGCGAATGCTTGGGCCACTAAATTAACATACTAACGACAGATAAATTAATATTTCATATCAATAGCTGCGTCAAAAACGATATTTCTTGCCCGCACTTGAATAAAAAGGATTAATATTTCACATAATTTTATTTATTTGCAACAACTGATGAGCGACGCACGCGAAAAGTTGAGAGTTGGCCATCTTTTTGCTTTGTGTTGGCGTGAGCGTTGTCAAATTTTGGCTATGTGGACGGCTGCATTTGGATTCATGTATTCATAGTCAGCTGTTGAAGCGACGCCAACGCCAACGCAACGCCAAAGTTCTATGTGGACGGGCCTTCAGCGTTCAGTTGGTCGAAAATTTTCAAAGGGAGGGGTTGTTCTTGCGCAGATAATTTTCCGTTAGAAATTTGCTTGGAAAAAAGGACAATCATGCGCAAAACAACGTTTTTATATGACGGTTTTCTACCGACTGAGCCTAGTAGCAGCGCTCGGCTCTCTTATTTACGAACACATTCGCAACCAAGATCGTTAACACGTTATTCCCTGTGGGGAAACTCTCTAGTTCTGAACTGGTCCGCTTCTAGTACATTTTGACCCAGTACTGGTTCGCGATAAATCTCTTTTGCATGCAAGCAACTGGCGAATTTAACATGGCGAGGTCCTAGGAAGTGTCAATTGCCCCCCACTGCATCCCTTTTTCGATAGTTCCGAACTAGTCCTAAATTCTATAGTTCCGAACCAGTTCCAAAATCGACAGACGAAAGAAAAAAGTATCATGATTTTTCAATATTTTTGGTTCTTCCGTGTGTGCGATTTTCAGTAATTTTGGAAGAAATGTGTTTTCAATTTGAAACTAAATTTGTTTGAATGATTGTAAGAAATGTACGTTTACATACCTTTAGCTGTAGCTGAGTTTGCAGAGGTGCTCGCTGTTATTTCTTAGATTCCAGACTGTCCCAAGATGTTGAAATGTTAACACAAATTTTAGTTTTGTATTACCAAGCTATGAAAAAGCATCTGCGAAGCACAGAATAGAAGCGTATTTGAACGAAAAAGCCGCCGAACACATATCTATGTAAAGTAAACAAGCCCCCCGCTGCATCCCTTATTCGATAGTTCCGAACTGGTTCTAAATTCGACAAATAACATCTAGTTCGTTCTGCATCCCTTTTTCTATAGTTCCGAACCATTTCTAAATTCGTCACTTTAGATATAGATTTCTAGTCAAAAAAACTAAAAAATTAGTCTAATCTAAAATTCTAGTTCCTATCGGACTAGTTCCTTTTTGGCGATAAAGACCTAGTACGGAACTAGAAATTTGTTTCACTAGTCCGCGGTTTCCCTACAGGGATTGTTCGCCAGTATGAATTAGCACATACTATTTTTTACATATGTATAAATGGTGTAGTGGTAAGCAGTGCGCGCTTCCACTCCACAATGCCTGGGTTCAAACCCTGGTCAAAGCAACATCGCAAAAATATAGAAAAAAGGTTTTTTTCTTAACAGCGGTCGTCCCTCGGCAGGCAATGGCAAACCTCCGAGTGTATTTCTGCCATGAAAAACAGCTTCTCATAAAAATACAATCGCCGTTCGGAGTCGGCGTAAAACTGTAGGTCCCTCCGCTTGGTGTGACAACATCAAGGCGCACGCCACAAATCGGAAGAGAAGCTCGGCCAAACACTAACATATGTGTAAGCGCCAATCTATTATTATTATTATTATAATCAATTTAAACTTTATTGATTTATTAATAAAAAAAAGTTAAATTGGTCGGTATTTCATGATGTTGAATTATTTTTTATAAATATACTACAAATATGGTTAGAAATTGTTCCTCTATAAACAAAGAGGTGAATACAATAGCCTTTGCAATATACATTGCATAAAATGGGTTAATACACGTACACGGCTATTGCTTACCCTTTCGGTTTTAAATTTTTACCCCGCATCAAGCACCTGCTTGCCCGCGCTGCTGCGCGCGAGCTGTTCTGCCGCCCATCCCTAGTTTATAGTATATGGAAGTTCTATCTGGATGTTTTGATATTCGAATACATGGATATAAAAGGGATATCCGATCTGGGAAATGTAGAATGAATACAATGAGAAAAAAACGCGTTGTAAGAATAAAATTTTTTTATTTGATTACCGTTTAAAAATGTTCGCATTTAAATCAAGTGAAAAGTGTTAA